TTTTTTAAAAAAAAAAAAAAAAAGAAGAAAAAAAAAATCATTCATTACTTTTTTTGTGTGAGACAGAGTCTCACTCTGTTACCCAGGCTGGAGTGCACTTGGCCCAATCACCTCTGCCTCCTGGGTTCAAGCGATTCCCCTGCCTGAACCTCCTGAGTAGCTGGGATTGCAGGTACCCGCCACCACGCCTGGCTAATTTTTGTATTTTTAGTAAAGACGGGGTTTCACCACATTGGCCAGGCTGGTCTTAAACTCCTGACCTCAGGTGATCCGACAGCATCGGCCTCCCATAGTGCTGGGGTTACAGGCGTGAGCCCCCGCACCCGGCCCATGTTTCATTCATTACCACCTTGCCCTTCACAAACAGCTTCCAGAGGGTGCTACAGTCGTGTCCATTTCACAGATGAGAAGGGTAAGGCGCAGATGCATCTGAGGTCCCCACTCCCTGGCTGCCAGATTCACAAGCATATGCTGGGAACCACTGTGGGGGCCTCGTGCTTAGTAGGTGCCCAAGAAACACCCCCTGTTTCCAGGGAAACACCCAGACGCCAGCCGGGCACTGCAGCCTGCTGAGTCTGTGTGGGCTCTGGTTCCAAAAGAGGGTCCTGTGCCCACGGCCCGGAGCCCGGACGGCTGGGTGCCCTGGCTGGGCCCTTTCCAACAGCATGGCCACCCGTGCCCAGCCTCGAGGCGGTCCAAACAGAACTGGCCAGCTCCAAGGGGCCGCTGGCTGCCCCAGCCTGGGATCGGCGGCAGGGCTCGGGGCCCAGCCGGGCACGCTCCCCTCGGTTGCCGTCTGGCCCATTTGGCCGAGGCTGGGAAAGCCTGGCTGCAGGAAGGGCTTCTCTGATCTGCTCCTCTGTTTCCTGGTTGGGAAACTGAGGCACCGGGCCCTGCTCCTGTCATGTTTATGGCATCATTGGTCTTGGCAGTCAGTGGGTGCAGGACGCACGGTGTGGGCAAAGCCATCGGCACAGTGCTGAGCCAGCACCAGAGGCTCCGTGCGCTGGGAAATACCACGGCTTTGGCCAGTCTCCCAGCAACCCTGGGAGTGGTCTCCATTTTTTTTTTTTTGAGATGGAGTCTCAGTCTCGCTCTGTCGAATGGGCTGGAGTGCAGTGGCGCCATCTCGGCTCACCACAACCTCTGCCTCCCCAGTTCAAGCGATTCTCCTGCCTCAGCTTCCTGAGTAGCTGGGATTACAGGCACCCGCCACCACGCCCAGCTAATTTTTGTATTTTTAGTAGGGATGGGCTTTCACCATGTTGGCCAGGCTGGTCTCGATCACTTGACCTCGTGATCCGCCCGCCTCGGCCTCCCAAAGTGCTGGGATTACAGGTGTGAGCCACCGCGCCCGGCCCCCTCTTTTTTTAAAAAAACTTTTTTTTTGGACGAAGTCTTGCTATTGTCACCCAGGCTGAAGTGCAGTGGCGAGATCTCACCTCACTGCAACCTCCATCTCCCGGGTTCAAGCAATTTTCCTGCCTCAGTCACCCAAGTAGCTGGGACTATAGGTGCCTGCCACCACACCCAGCTAATTTTTTGTATTTTTAGTAGAGATGGGGTTTCACTGTGTTAGCCAGGATGGTCTTGATCTCCTGACCTGGTGATCCGCCTGCCTGGGCCTCCCAAAGTGCTGGGATTACAGGCATGAGCCACTGCACCCGGCCCCCATTTATTTTTTTTAAACAAGGTCTTGCTCTGTTGCCCAGGCTGGAGTGCAGTGGCGTGATCACGGCTCACTGCACCCTCAACCCCCCAGGCTCAAGTGATCCTCCTGTGTCAGCCTCCTGAGTAGCTGGGACTACAGACACCTGATACCATGCCCAGCTAATGTTTTTGTAAAAACGGGGTCTCACTATGTTGTCCTGGCTGGTCTCGAACTCCTGGCCTTAAGTGATCGTCTCTCCTCGGCCTCCCAAAGGGCTGGGATTACGGGCATGACCCACCATGCCACCGCACCTGGCTTAATCACCATCTCATTTTGTGGACGAGGAAACTCAGGCCTTGAAAGGGAAGTGGCGTGCTCAGAGCACACAGACCGATGGCTCTCAGAGACAGTACCTGGCTCGGGTATCTGATCCCAGCACAGAACAGTGGATAAAGTGACCCTAGTGATGAAGTCCATCACTTGGCCTGGGAGGGAGGCTGTTGCTTGTGGTTCTGACCTGTAGCTTTCCTTGTCTGTGGCGCGGTGGCTCATGCTTTTACTCCCAGCACTTTGAAAGGCCACGGTGAGCAAATCACCCGAGGTCAGGAGTTCAAGACCAGCCTGGCCAACATGGTGTGAAACCCTGTCTCTACTAAAAATACAAAAATTGGCCGGGTGCGGTGGCTCACGCCTGTAATCCCAGCACTTTGGGAGGCCGAGGCGGGCGGATCACGAGGTCAAGAGATCGAGACCATCCTGGCCAACATGGTGAAACCCCGTCTCTACTAAAATACAAAAAAATTAGCTGGGCATGGTGACATGCACCTGTAGTCCCAGCTACTCAGGAGGCTGAGGCAGGAGAATTGCTTGAACCTGGGAGGCGGAGGTTGTAGTGAGCCGAGATTGTGCCACTGCACTCCAGCCTGGCGCCTGGTGACAGAGACTGTAAAAAAAAAATATATATATATATATATATATATATATATATACACACACACATACAAAAATTAGTCAGCATGATGGTGCACACCTGTAGTCCCGGCTACTCTGGAGGCTGAGGCAGGAGAATCGCTTGAACCTGGGAGGCGGAGATTGTTGCCCTGAGCTGAGATCGTGCCACTGCACTCCAGCCTGGGCTACAGAGTGAGACCCCGTCTCTCAAAAATAAATAAATAAATGAAAGAAAGCGATAACGTGGTGGATTATCTCGTGATCGAGGTCTCCAGATACCCCCTAGTGCTTCAGGAGTATCCTCTCCTGGCTCCCTCCCAGCTCTGATAGGGCCTGAGTGATGTTTGTGCCCATGTGGAAAACAGGCGCAGGACGCTAGGCGGCTCGCCTGAGGTCACACGGCGATTGGATGGCCTTGGGGTCTGGGGTGGGTGGGAGGGGCGTGATTCTCTTTCTGCAGCCTTTGATGCTGGTTCCTGCCACCTTTGTCTTTGACCTGGGCGATCCATGGGTGGGGCTGTGGAGGGGGCTCTGCCTGGCTGGGCTTGTCCACCTGCCCCCCAGCTTCAGCCCTCAGTTGGAGGGAGGGTCAGGGCTCCGGAGCGGGTGGATGTGACTCGTCCTCCATCCAGGCTGCCAGAGCCGATAACGCTGAGCTCAGCGTCTGTCTGCCTGCATGTCTGCCAAGGAACCTGATTATTTTTAGATAAGATGGAGGGGCGGGCGCCGGGGCAGAGGGAGCACCCTAGCCAGGCGGGCAGTGGGGACGTCGCCATCACAGAAGCCACCCCTCAGCCGCCTCTCTCTGCGGTCCCCGAATGGCCACCCAGGACGAACAGACAGGTCCCTGGGATGACAGGGGCAGGGGCTGAGGCTCAGGGAACCTGGTGTCTCAAGGGCTTACCTCTCTGATCCTCAGTTTCCTCATCTGTAAGACAGGCACAGTGATAGCCCTCCCGTGCAGGGCTAAGGTGGGGCTGAATGAGTGAACTCATTTTTTAAAAATTGCATTTTATTGTTTATTTAATTTGAGACAGAGTCTCGCTCTGTTGCCCAGGCTGGCGTGCAGTGGTGTGATCTCTGATCTCTGCTCCCTGCAGCCTCTTCCTCCTGGGTTCAAGTGATTCTCCTGGAACCTCCACCTCCTGGGTTCAAGCAATTCTCCTGCTTTAGCCTCCCGAGTAGCTGGGATTACAGGCGACCGCCACCACACCTGGCTAATTTTGTATTTTTGGTAGTGACAGGGTTTCCCATATTGGCCAGGCTGGTCTTGAACTCCTGACCTCAGGGGATTTTCCTGCTTTGCCCTCCCAAAGTGCTGGGATTACAGGCCTGAGCCACCTCGTCTGGCCATTTTGTTTTGTTTTGTTTGGTTGGTTGGTTTTATTTTCTGAGATGGGGTCTTGCTCTGTTGCCCAGGCTGGCTTCCAACTGCAGTCACACAGACTGGAGTGCAGTGGTGCAATCTCAGCTCACTGCAGCCTCCGCCTCCCAGGTTCAAGCAATTCTCCTTCCTCAGCCTCCAGAGTAGCTGGGACTACAGGTGCGCGCCACCACACCTGGCTAGTTTTTGCACGGTTAGTAGAGATGGGGTTTCACCATGTTGGCCAGGCTGGTCTCGAACTCCCGACCTCAGGTGATCTGCCTGCGTCAGCCTCCCAAAGGGCTGGGATTACAGGCATGAGCCACCGCGCCTGGCCTGAACCTCATTTTACAGATGAGGCTCAGAGAGGGCAAGTGACTTGCTCAGGGTTGCACAGCAAGAAGACGGGGGAGCTGGGATTTAAACGTCACTCTGTTAAGACTCCAGGTACCCAACTTCTTTACCCACGACTGAGCTACCCCTGCAGACATGGAGGGCTGACTCCAGCATACAGGTGCACTGGCGCCCACAGGGGCCCAGCTGGTGTCTGCAGGGTGCCTGGCCACATGTCCACGACCCTCTAGGGCAGCAGCCAAGAGAAGGGCCCAAGCAGAGACCCCGGGGCGTGGGCATGTTTCAGGGCCACTGTCTTCCCAGCACTGGCCCAGCCCAGGCCTGGGTTACCAGCGTCGAAATCTCATCTGCTCCTGGAGTGGGGCCTCTGCGATGTCACCAACACCTCTTCCCTCTCTTTGCAGACGCAGAGCAGAGCGGCAGTCCCCGGGCGGGGATGGGGTCCGATCAGGAGGACAGCAAGCCCATCACGCTGGGTGAGTCTGCGGGTGGCGCCGCCCCGCCCATGTCTTTTATTTGGGAATCATTTGCTCAGAACCACTCATTTTACGGATGAACAGACGGAGGCTTGGAGAGGGAAAGGGGCCTGTCCAGGGAGCTCCCAGCATGTGGGCTCTGAGGTCCTCACGCAGGGGAGACCCCGGAGGCCTCTACAGTTCCATGGGATGTTTAGGGGTTTCTGCTTGTTTTATTTTTCATTCGTTTATTTATTTTGAGATGGAGTCTCGCTGTGTCCCCCAGGCTGGAGTGCAGTGGCGCAATCTCAGCTCACTGCAACCTCCACCTCCCGGATTCAGGCGATTCTCCTGCCTCAGTCCCCCACATAGCTGGGATTACAGGCGCCCGCCACCACGCCTGGCTAATATTTGCATTTTTAGTAGAGACGGGGTTTCACCATGTTGGCCAAGTTGGTCTTGAACTCCTGACCTCAGGTGATCCACCTGCCTCGGGCTCCCGAAGTGCTGGGATTACAGGTGTGAGCCACGGCGCCCGGCCTGTTTGTTTTAGAAACGGTCTCACTCTGCTGGCCAGGCTGGAGTGCAGCGACACCATCCTGGCTCACCGCACCTTGGACCAACTGAGCTGAAGCCGTCCTTCCACCTTAGCCTCTGCGGTAGCTGGGACTGCAGGTGTGCACCACCGTGCCTGGCTCATTTTCTGTTTGTTTGTTTTTGTAGAGACAGAGTCTCATGTGTTGCTCAGGCTGGTCTCAAACTCCTGAGCTCAAGCGATCCTCCTGCCTCAGCCTCCCAAAGCACGGGGATCATAGGTGTGACCCCCATGCCCAGCCTTCACGGGGTGTCTAATGCATGGAAAGGACAGAGCAACTCTGTGTCGTAGGGAAAGGAAGTGGGAAATTTTGCTTAGGTCCCTTAGACCAGAGCAGTCTCTTCCATCCTGGCCCCTGGCTCCTGCCCCTTGCCCCTGACCATCTGTCCTCCTCACTATGGCCAGAGGATGCCTGTGACCCCCCGGAGTCACAGGCTGCCCCTTCTCTGTCCACAGCCCTCCATGGCTGCCACCTCTCTTGGGATAAAAGCCCAAGTCCTCCCTGTGACCCACAAGGCCCTGCACAACCTGCCCGGTCCCCTCCTTGTCCTCTCCTCCTCTCTCTCTCCCCCTCGCTCACCCCCAGCTGCACAGACCTCCTTGCTGTTCCTCTAGTACACCAGGCCCAGTCCTGCCTCAGGGCCTTTGCACATTCTACTCCTTACTCTGTCTAAATAGTTAACTGGTCTCTTGCTCTCTCCACATCTCCCCTGGTCTCAACTCAAATGCCCTCTTCTCATAGAGGTCTACCCTGAGTACCCTGAGCCCCTTCAACACAAGCAGCCTCTGGCCAGCCCCCCATCTCAGCCCTCTGTTTTCTTTCCTTCAGAGGAAGTTAGTGATTGCCTATGGGTTTGTTTAGTTGCTTAGTGGCTGCGCAGATGTTTGCTTATCTCCCCAGTGGAACGTCACCTCCTCGAGGACAGAGGCTTTGTCTCTCTGGATCTCTGTTGTGCCCTCAGTGGCTAGAATAGGGCCTGGTGCAGAGTGGGTGCTCAATAAATATTTGTAGAAAGGAAGGAAGGAGGGAGGGATGATGCAGAGAGAAAAAGAGACAAGAGAGGGTATGTGGGGGAGAGGAAGGAGAAGAGATGAAAAAGAAGGAAGGGGCCGGGTGCAGTGGCTCACACCTGTAATCCCAGCACTTTGGGAGGCGAAGGTGGGCAGATGACCTGAGGTCAGGAGTTCGAGACCAGCCTGGCCAACATGGCGAACCCCTGTCTCTACTAGGACTCCGGAGGCTGAGGAAGGAGAATCGCTTGAACCTGGGGGGTGGAGGTTGCAGTGAGCCGAGATCGTGCCACTGCACTCCAGCCTGGGGGATAGAGCAAGACTGTCTCCAAAAAAAAAAAAAAAAAAGGAAGGAAGAGAAAGCGAGTGGGCGAGGCGTCCTTCTTGGAAGGGCCGGAACAGCCGTGCGCAGGGAGGCCGAAGGGTTCCTGGAGGTTCACAGGCCCGAGGCCACTCCTCACTGTCCCCTGGTGACTCGTCTGTCTGTGACCCGGGTCCTCCTCGGCCTCCTGTGATCCCCAGACGCCTCTCTCCAAGCCAGATGTTGGAGGGAGGCGGAGGCGGCGGTGCTTGGCCTGGTCCCTTGGGGAGCTTGGGCGTCTGGTAGAGGAAATCACGTCCTCCCGGCTCGCCAGGGAGTCCCCCGGAGATGGAGCTGGGCAGGCACTGCACAAACAGGAAACCCCGGTGTGGGGGAGGCGGGGGGCGTGCTGACACCGGCTGGCCAGCTGGGTCAGCAGGAAACGGCTCTGGCCACTTCTTCTGGACACGCAGGGCCACCGCTCTGTCCTCCTCAGAATGTGTGGCCCTGAACCTCCCAGCGCGGGGTAGGGCTCCTTGCCATCACTCAGCAAATGACTGGAACGGGGGCCAGATGCAGTGGCTCATGCCTGCGATCCCAGCGCTTTGGGAGGCCGAAGCGGGAGGGTCAAGTGAGCCCAGGAGTTCAAGGCCAGCCTGGGTAACATCGCAAGAACAAGAAATAATCATAATACAGAAATTGGCCAGGCATGGAAGTACCTGCCTGCAACCCCAGCTACGTGGGAGGCTGAGGCAGGAGGATTCCCTGAGCCCAGGAGTTCGAGACCAGCCTGGATAACACAGCAAGACCCTATCTTTACACACACACACACACACACACACACACACACACACACACACACTCTCTCTCTCTCTCTCTCTCTCTCTCTCTCTCTCTCTCTCTCTCTTATAAAAATTAGCCAGGCATAGAGGTGCATGCCTGTAACCTCAGGTACTTGGGAGGCTGAGGCAGGAGGATTGCCTGAGCCCAGGAGTTCAAGACCGGCCTGGATAACACAGCAAGACCCTGTCTCTATAAAAAAAAAAAAATATATATATACACACACACACACACACACACACACACACACACACACGTTAGCCAACATGGAGGTGCATGCCTATAATCCCAGCTACTTGGGAGGCTGAGGCAGGAGGATCGCTTGAGCCCAGGAGTTCGAGGCTGCAGTGAGCTATGACTGCATCACTGCATTCCAGCCTGGGCAACAGGGCGAGACTCTGTCTCTGGAAAAGGAAAAGATTGTAACAGGGGTACTGGCTGGGGCTTGGGTCTGCAGAACTGCACACAGCCATGAGCTCCCTGCAGCCCGTGCTGCCCCCTGGGGGCTGAGAGAGGAACTGCTCCCGCCGCCACCCCAAAGCCAAGAGCCTCTCCAGCCTCCGAAGCCACAGCGCTCCCTGGATCTTTCTGCCCCAACCCTGCTGGCCTGTAACCTGCCAAGTGCATTCCAACCCTGGGGCCTTTGCACGGGCTGTTCCCAGTGCCGGGAACATCGTGGCCCTCAGGGAGGTGGCGAAACATCATACCCATCAGATAAGCCAACGCTCACGGGGTGGTTGCCAGGCGCTGTTCTTGGAGCTTTGCAAATTTTAACAAGTTCTTTCCTCTTATCCAATCTCATCTTGAGGTCTTTGTAAAATGCCACCATCTCAGCCAGGCTTTCTCTGAGCCCTGGGTGTAAAACTGCTTCCCTCCCCACCCTAGTGGGTTCCCCACAGGCTGCCTGCCTTACCACAGGCTGACGCACCTCACATTTGATTTAATGAGCTTTGTTTTGTAGTAAAGGCCGGGCCCTGTGGCTCACGCCTGTAATCCCAGCACTTTGGGAGGCCAAGGCCGGCGGATCACTTGAGGTTGGGGGTTCGAGACTGGCCTGACCAACACAGAGAAACCTCGTCTCTACTAAAAATACAAAAATTAGCCGGGTGTGGTGGCATGTGCCTGTAGCCCCAGCTACTTGGGAGGCTGAGGCAGGAGAATCCCCAGGAGGTGGAGGTTGCAGTGAGCCGAGATTGCGCCATTGCACTCCAACCTGGGCAATAAGAGTGAAACTCTGTCTCAAAAAAAAAAAAAAAAAAATTGGGGCCAGGCAAGGTGGCTCATGCCTGAAATCTCAGAACTTTGGGGGTCTGAGGCAGGTTGATCACAAGGTCAAGAGTTCAAGACCAGCCTGGCCAACATGGTGAAACCCCATCTCTACTGAAAAATACAAAAATTAGCCAGGCTGTGGTAGCATGCGCCTATATTTCCAACTACTCAAGAGGCTGAGGCAGGAGAATCGCTTTAACCTAGAAAGCGGAGGTTGCAATGAGCCGAGATCGAGCCAGCGCACTCCAGCCTGGGAGACTCCCTCTCAAAAAAAAAAAAAAAATTGTAGTAAAATGTGCGTTATGTACAATATATCATTTTTACTTTTTTTTTTTTTTTTAAGACAGAGTCTCACTGTGTTGCCCAGGCTGGAGCACAGTGTTGACATCTCGGCTCACTGCAACCTCCACCTCCGGGTTCAAGAGATTCCCCTGCCTCAGCCTCCTGAGTAGCTGAGACTACAGGCGGCCACCACCACACCCAGCCATTTTTTTTATTTTTATTTTTTTTTTTTTGAGACCCAGTCTCGCACGGTTGCCCAGGCTGGAGTGCGGTGGTGCGATCTTGGCTCACTGCAACCCCTGCCTCCTGGGTTCAAGCAATTCTCCTGCCTCAGCCTGCCAAGTAGCTGGGGCTACAGGCGTGCCATCACCACGCACAGCTAATTTTTTTGTATTTTTAGTAGAGACGGGACTTCACCATGTTGGCCAGGATGGTCTTGATTTCCTGAAATCATGATTCACCCACCTCGGCTTCCCAAAGTGCTTGGATTACAGGCGTGAGCCACTGCGCCCAGCCCATTTTAACCATTTTTAAGTGTCCAGGTCAAAGTGCACTAAGTGCGTTCACGTCTATCTAATCCAGAACATTTCTTTTTTTTTTTTTTTCCCCCAGGCTGGAGCGCAGTGGTGCGATCTCGGCTCACTGCAACCTCCGCCTCCTAGGTTCAAGCGATTCTCCTGCCTCAGCCTCCCAAGTAGCTGGGGCTACAGGCGCGTGCCACCACACCCAGCTAATTTTTCCATATTTTCAGTAGAGACGGGGTTTCACCGTGTTAGCCAGGATGGTCTCTATCTCCTGACCTTGTGATCTGCCCGCCTTGGCCTCCCAAAGTGCTGGGATTACAGGTGTGAGTCACTGCACCCGGCCAGAGCCTTGTTCTTATTTATTTATTAATTTTCTGAGACGGATGAGACGGAGTCTCACTCTGTCGCCCCAGGCTGGAGTGTAGCGTGTGACCTCACCTCACCACAACCTCTACCTCCCAGGTTCAGGCGATTCTCCTGCCTCAGCCTCCCAAGTAGCTGGGATTATAGACACATGCCACCATGCCTGGCTAATTTTGTCTTTTTAGTAGAGACGGGGTTTTGCCATGTTGGCCAGGCTGGTCTTGAACTCTTTTTTTTTTTTTTTTTTTGAGACGGAGTTTCCCTCTTGTTACCCAGGCTGGAGTGCAATGGCGCGATCTTGGCTCACTGCAACCTCCGCCTCCTGGGTTCAGGCAATTCTCCTGCCTCAGCCTCCTGAGTAGCTGGGACTACAGGCACGTGCCACCATGCCCAGCTAATGTTTTGTATTTTTAGTAGAGACGGGGTTTCACCACGTTGACCAGGATGGTCTCAATCTCTTGACCTCGTGATCCGCCCGCCTCGGCCTCCCAAAGTGCTGGGATTACAGGCGTGAGCCACCGCGCCCGGCCTTGAACTCTTGACCTCAGGTGATCTGCCTGCCTCAGCCTCCCAAAGTGCTGGGATTACAGGTGTGAGCTACTGAACCTGGCCCAAAGCCTCATTCTTTCTCCTTTTTTTTTTTGAGACAGTGTCTCACTCTGTCACACAGGCTGGAGTGCAGTGATGCAGTCATAGCTCACTGCAGCCTCAACTTCCTGGGCTCAAGCGATCCTCCCACCTAAGCCTCCCAAGTAGCTGGGACTACAGGTGTGCACCACCACGCCCGGCAAATTTTTATACTTTTTGTAGAGATGGGGTTTTGCCCATGTTGCCCAGGCTGGTCTCAATCTCCTAGGCTCAAGTGATCCACCCACCTCAGCTTCCCGAAGTGCCAGGACTACAGGCGTGCGCCACCACGCCCGGCTCATTTTTGTATATTTTGTAGACACAGGGTTTCACTATGTTGCCCAGGCTGGTGTCAAACTCCCGAGCTCGAGAGATTCCCCCCACCAAAGTGCTGGGATGACAGGCACGAGCCACCACGCCTGGCCTCCTTTTTACAGCTGAGCTCTTCTCCAGTGTGTGGATAGAGCACGCTGTGTTGACCTCTTCATCTTCTGAAGGGACACGTGGGTGGCTTTACATTTCGAGCTGTGGTGAATGGTGCTGCGAGGAGCCCTCGTGGCCTTTTGCCGACCTAGTAATCTTGGTTACCATTTGTTGCTTGCACTGGACTTGTGAGTCCGCCGGGGGTGAGTGCTTCCATCTGTCTCATCTGCTGTGTCGGGTCCAGATCAGCATGGGGCACCATGGATGCTTAGTGAATGCCTATTGAGTCAATGAATCCCTCCTGCAAAGGCCTCTGAGGGCAGGACAGGGCTGTCCCCAAGCCGTCTGAGGTTGGCCAAGGCTCCCGGCCTCTTGGGGACAACTTTGGTTTCCAAACCCATGAAACGGGTCCAAACCATTCCAGTTAAGAGAGGACAGTCCCCCTTCCTTTGACATTGGGCAGGAGCAGTGCTGGGAACACTGGGGGTTGTAACTGCGGCTTGCAGACCCCCTATTTGACCCCCCATTTTAACCGACCCATTGCTGGGTGCCCAGCCCTGGTCTAGGCACACAGGACACTGCAGACTGCAGCAGACGGGCATCGCTGCCCACATGGACCTCCGTCTGGAGGGAGAACAGGAAGCCGGGGTATCTCGAAGGGTGACAGTGTGCAAAGCAAGCCAGCCGCCCCTCCCAGGCTGTCTGATGCAGATGTCACCACAGCCAAGATGATGGCTTTGATGGTTTCCACGTTTGCGATTAGGAAAACTTGGGAGGCTGAACGAGGGAAAGTGACCTGCCATGACCACACACCAAGGCGGGTGATGGGGGCCGACGTGAGCCCAGGTCTGCGCTCTCCACTTTTTCTTGTTTTTTTTTTTTGAGACAGAGTCTCACTCTGTCACCCAGGCTGGAGTGCAGTGGCGCGATCTCGGCTCACTGCAACCTCCGCCTCCTGGGTTCAAGCCATTCTCCTGCCTCAGACTCCCAAGTAGCTGGGATTACAGGCACGCACCACCACGCCTGGCTACTTTTTGTATTTTTAATAGAGATGGGGTTTCACCACGTTGGCCAGGAAAGTCTCAGTAACTTGACTTCGTGATCCACGCGCCTCGGCCTCCCAAAGTGCTGGGATTACAGGCGTGAGCCACCGTGTCCGGCCTCTCCACTCATTTTTTTTAAGAGACAGGGCCTGGCTTTGTTTCTCAGGCTGGAGTGCAATGGCACAATGATACATTGCGTCCTCCACCTCCCAGTCTGAAGTCATCCTCCCGCCTCAGCCTCCTGAGTAGCTGGGACGACAGGCATGCACCGTGACATCTGGCTAATGCTAACACTGTTTGTAGAGACGGGCTCTCACTGTGTTGCCCAGGCTGGTCTTGAACTCCTGAACTCAAGGGATCATCCCGCCTCGGCCTCCACAGCGATGGGATTACAGCCATAAGCCATGGCGCCCAGCCTGCTGTCCACTTGAATGCAGCATTCCACAGCGTGGGGGACCCCAGGTGAAGGCCCACGCTGGACAAGGACCCTCCACGGGGCCTCCACCGTCAGACTGGACCTGTTATTCCCCCACTGCAGGGGGTAGACAGGGTGAACGCCCAGGCTCGGGCCAGCACAGGGGTCCAGGCAGCCCTGGAGCGTGGGGAATGGGGACAGGCCCAGCTCAGCCCACTGACTCCGCTGTCTTCCTGTTCCAGACACGACCGACTTCCAGGAGAGCTTTGTCACCTCCGGCGTGTTCAGCGTCAGCGAGCTCATCCAGGTGTCCCGGAGTGAGTGTTCCCATCAGCCCGGAGCTGGGTCCTGGAGAGGGGAGGGGCCGCAGGGAGGAAGGAGGAGCCCACCCCCCTCACCCTACTTCTTGTCCTCCCCAGACGCCCGTGTCACCCAGCCAAGGTTCCTAGAAAGGGAGGTGGCCAGGCCCTTCCCTCCTCCCCAGGAATCAGAATCCAGATGCTGGATGGCAGCTAAGGAAAATTCTGCTTCCACTGTCCCATCCTAGGGGACCCCGGAGGACCCCACTCCTCCTGTCCCCTTGCCCTCCCTGCCGACCTGCTGGGGACCCAGCACATTCCAGTAGACACCATCTGAATCCCATCCCAGCGAGTTCCGGGCACTGTCCTTTAGCCCTCACTGACACCCTGCCCATCCAGATCCACAAAGCCGACCTCACGGTGTGCTCTTGGCCTCTCCCCATGGCCTTGGTCCTGTGATCCATGGAATAAAGCTGGTTTCAGCCACCTTAGGGACCAGGCCAATATGGGAAGGGATTCCCCCCTTGAACTGGACGCAATGGCTTACCCTGCCTCTCTAGGGCAAACCACAGCACTGGGCCCTGCTTCCTGCCTCACTCTCTTCTGTCACCCTCTGCAGCACCTGTGGTGACTGGAACAGGACCCAACTTCTCCCTGGGGGAGCTGCAGGGACACCTGGCATACGACCTGAACCCAGCCAGCACTGGCATGAGAAGAACGCTACCCAGCACCTCCTCCAGCGGGTAAGTATCCAAGTCCCCACCTCTGCGCATTTCGTGACCCCACTCATCGACCCATCCCCTCTGGCCCCAGCTGACTCATTCCTCTCCCTGGAATACCTCTTTTCACGATTCACCTGGCCTGAGAAACTCCTACTCATCCTTCAAAACCCAGCCAGCCTCAAGTGCCTCTTCCTCTAGATCTGACAGCCCACTGTGGGCTCCCCCAGCCTCAAGTCCTACTCGTTCAGCCAGCCCTTAGGACTCCTCCCGGAGAATGCAGACACAGGTTCTTGCTGAGATATGCTGTGTGACCTCGAGTGGGTCACATTGTGTGTGCCTCAGTTTCCCCATCCATAAAATGGGATCATACCCCTAACAGGTAGTTCTGAGGACTGCAGGTGGCCAGGGGATTGACCAGGCTGCCTGGGTTTTGGTCTCCACCCTGCCGGCTTGGTATCCAGCTGCTGCTGAGTCCCTCCCTGCCTCTAGTCCGGGTGTCCCATCTAAGCAATGGACAGGTCAGAACAAGCTTTCCTTGGGAACAGGCTGAACTCCCGCGGCTCCCGAGATGTATCGCGAGACCACTTGCTCGCCCCGCCCACTTAGGGATCGGAAGTAGCAAAGCCCGCCGCCGCGCCCCCCGCCCTTGCTTCTCTCTGGTAACTAGTGTTTCCCCCTCCCTCGCCCGTAAGGAGCAAGAGGCACAAATCGGGCTCGATGGAGGAAGACGTGGACACGAGCCCCGGTGGCGATTACTACACTTCGCCCAGCTCGCCCACGAGTAGCAGCCGCAACTGGACGGAGGATATGGAAGGAGGTAGGGCTGGCGGCAGGGTCGGGGCCGGCCTTCCGGTCGGAGTTCCCCTGGCGGGAACTACGTCTTCCGGCAGCCACTGCGCGGGCGCCGCGGGGCGGGAAGCCAGCCTGGAGCTGCGGGGCCTCCTGGGAATTGTAGTTGCGCCGTGCTGCGCGTGGCTGGAAGTACGGTCCCCGGGCTCGCGTTCTTGGATCTCTTTGGTTCCGCTAGGGCCGGGGAGGGCAGGCAGGGACCGTCCCCTGCCTGACTTTCCTGCTTCCAGCTGTAGGGTCCACGAGCTGCAGAATTGACTCAGTAGTGACTCTGATCAACAGGGTGCCGCCTCCTGGGATCTGCCACGGAATCCCTCGTCTCTAGGGTTCCTGTTTGTCCTCTTCCCACTAGAAGGTCCTGAGTTGCTGGATTCCTTCTCACTGGGGTCGTTCTTGAAGTTCCTTTTTTTTTTTTTAATTTTTTATTTAAGACAGGGTTTCACCATGTTGGTCAGGCTGGTCTTGAACTCCCGACCTCAGGTGATCCACCCGCCTCAGCCTCCCAAAGTGCTGGGATTACAGGCGTGAGCCACCGCGCCCGGCTTGTTGTTGTTTTGTCTATCTGGTTCTTTTTTTTTTTTTTTGAGACGGAGTCTCGCTCTGTCACCCAGGCTGGAGTGCAATGGCACGATCTCGGCTCACTGCCACCTCCGCCTCCCAGGTTCAAACGATTCTCCTGCATCAGCCTCCTGAGTAGCTGGGATTACAGGCACGTGCCACCGCGCCCAGCTGATTTTTGTATTTTTAGTAGAGACGGGGTTTCAACATTTTGGCCAGGCTGGTCTTGAACTCCTGACCTTGTGATCCACCCACCTCGGCCTCCCAAAGTGCTGGGATTAGAGGCGGGAGCCACCGCGCCCGGCCTTGTTGTTGTTTTTAAACCAGGTTCACGTCTCCATGGGACCTTCTTCCGTGTGATTCTGGTTCTGTAGGAAACCCATCGCTTGTCTGTAAGGTCTCCATTCCCATGGCGTCCTTTTCCAGGGAGATTTTATCCTTTCTGTCTTCAGAAGGGTTCTCCTTGGGTGTCATTATTTTTTTGTTTGTTTGTTTTGTTTGAGACGGAGTCTCACTCTGTTGCCCAGGCTGGAGTGCAGTGGTGCGACCTCGGCTTACTGCAACCTCTGCTTCCCAGGTTCAAGCGATTCTCCTGCCTCAGCCTCCCAAGTAGCTGGGGCTACAGGCACACACCACCACGATGCCTCGCTAAGTTTTGTATTTTTAGTAGAGACGCGGTTTCACCATGTTGGCCAGGCTGGTCTCGAACTCCTGACCTCAGGTGATCCGCCTGCCTCAGCCTCCCAAAGTGCTGGGATCACAGGCATGAGCCACTGCCCCCGCCTAGGGCGTCTTTCTTACAGGGTTCCTATTCCTTAGGATCGGCAGCTCCACAGGGTGTTTTTTCCATTGAACGCCAGCTCCTTGAGGTTGTGTTTATTTCCTGTCTCCCCAAGGGCTTTCTCCAAAGATTTCCCTTATTTGGGGTCCCTGTCTCCACTGCAGTTTTCATCTAAAGAATTCCTTTCCCTCTAAAGTCCTGCTCTCTGGCCGGCTGGCACCCGTGACTTTCAGGAGACTGTGCGAAATGCCCTGTGGGCGTGTGTGATGCTGGAGGGGGTGTCCCTGACATCCATCCCTCAGATTCTCAGCGGACTTTGTGCCCCTGAATTTTACAAGCATTGCTCTGCGTGGTGCTTTATTGTACAGGGGCCCAGGAGTGGATCCATGCGTGGGGTCAGTGGTCCACCTGCCTAGGTCCATAGCTCAGCTTCCTAATGACTCCAGCTCTCTGAGCCTCAGTTTCCTTATCTGTAAAATGGGGGTGTGAGTACCTGCAGTACCGTTTCGCTCGCCTGGGGTTGTCATGGGGATTAAGTGAATTAATCATGTCCGTAAAACAGGCCTGGCACATAACACACAGGCACACAATAAGCGTCGAAATTTATTTTCTTTCTTTTTCCTTTTTTTTTGTTGAGACAGAGTCTCGCTTCTTTGCCCAGGCTGGAGTGCACTGGCGTGATCTCGACTCGCTGCAACCTGTGCCTCCTGGGTTCAAGCAATTCTCCTGCCTCAGCCTCCTGAGTAGCTGGGACTACAGGCGGGCGCCACCACGCCCAGCTAACTCAGTATTTTCAGTAGAGACGGGATTTCTCCATGTTGGCCACGCTGGCGTCGGACTGCCAACCTCAGGTGGTCCACCCGCCTCAGCCTCCCAAAGTGCCGGGATTATAGATGTGAGCCACCACACCCAGCCTGTTTTCTTTCTTTTTCCTTTTTTATTTTTATTTTTTATTTTTTTTGTTAGAAGGTCTCACTCTCCCCAGGGCTGGAGTTTCATAGCACAATCATGGCTCACTACAGCCTCAACTGCTTGGGTTTAAGTGATCCCCCCACCTGCATCTCCTGACTATTGGGGACTACAGGTAAACGTCATCATGCCTGGCTCATTTTTTCTTTTCCTTTTTTTTTTTTTTTTTAAATAGAGATGAGGTCGCACTACGTTGTGCAGGCTGGTCTCAGACTCCTGGGCTCAGGTGGTGGTCCTCCTGCCCCAGCCTCCTAAAGTTCTGGGATTGCGTGTGTGAGCCATCGCACCCAACCAGATGTGTTTGGTCTCCTTCCACTCTCTCCTCCCCGTACCCTCAGGGCCTACTTTATTTGTATTTTTATTTTTGAGGCAGGCTCTTGCTCTATCATTCAGGCTGAGTGCAGTGGTGCAGTCACAGCTCATTGCAGCCTCGACCTCCCAGGCTCACGTGATCCTCCTGCCTCAGCCTCCCGAGCATCTGAGACTACAGGCGCATATCCCCACACCCCATTCCTTTTTTTTTAATTTTTTGGTAGAAATGGTGTCTCCCTATGTAGCCTAAACTGGTCTTGAACTCCTGAGTTCTAGCCATCCCCCCACCTCGGCCTCCCAAAGTGCTGGGATTCCGAGTGTGAGCCGCCACGCCTGGCCCCTCTTGTTTTGTTTTGTTTTTTAAGATGGAGTCTTGCTCTGTCACCCAGGCTGGAGTAGGGTGTGACGCGAACTCTACCTCCCGGGTTCAAGTGACTCCCCTGCCTCAGCCTCCTGAGTAGCTGGGATTCCAGGCGCCCACCACCACGCCTAGCTAATCTGTATTTTTAGTAGAGACAGGGTTTCACCATGTTGGCCAGGCTAGTCTTGAACTCCTGACTTCAGGTGATCTGCCCGCCTCAGCCTCCCAAAGTGCAGGGATGACAGGTGTGAGCCACCGCGCCCGGCCACCTGTAGGATTTTTGAGACAGAGCATAACATTAGGAGTCAGAGGTCAGATTCAGGCATTGGAGAGACCTGTGTTCAGATCCCCACTGTGCCCGTGCCTAGCTGTGTAACCTTGGGCACATAATTTGGTTTCTCTAAGCCTCAGTTTCTTCATTTCCACAGTGAAGGGGGGTGATGTGAATAGTAATTGTTCTTTTGGGAGCTCTGGGGGGGGGAAGAAGTAGAACGTGCATGAAGCCACCATCTGGGATACGCGACTTGCCGGGGAAACGGGAGAGGTCCTTGTTGTTCATGTCTTTATATCATTCCCGTCTCCTTCCGGCGCGCTCGGATGCGTCTGGTGGTGACATTTCAGGTGCTCAGGCTCCTCCCTTCTGCAGTGTGGGCCCCCAGAGCCTCCCTCTCTCACGGGACCTGTCTCATTATTAGGTTCTTTTTGTTTGTCTGTTTGCTGTTTCTGTTTTGGGATGGAGTCTCACTTATTTTGAGAGATGGCACCACTGACCTTGGTGGCACCAAGGTCTTTTGAGACCTTCTCTCAAACAAAAAAAGGTCACTTCTCTCTTTTTTTTTTTTTTTTTTTTTTTTTGAGGCAGAGTTTCCCTCTCATTCCAGGCTGGAGTGCAATGGTGCAATCTCAGCTCACTGCAACCTCCACCTCCCGGGTTCAAGCGATTCTCCTGACTCAGCCTCTCGAGTAGCTGGGGCTACAGGCGCCCTCCACCACACCTGGCTAATTTTTGTATTTTTAGTAGAGACCCTTTTGGCCAGGCTGGTCTTGAACTTCTGACCTCAAGTCATCTCCCAAAGTGCTGGGATTACTTGCATCAGCCACCGCGCGCTGGCGGTCACTCCTCATTAACTGTGTAACTGACGAGACCGTCGGAATGTAAACTGCACACTAATTACAGTGAAAGACCTCCTCGGTGATGAGCCAGAGCAGCCCTGAGAGGGCAACTTGTAACTTCAGGTCTATTCTTTAGGAGAGGAGAAAGGCTGAAAATAAAGAATCTAGCATTCAACTGAGGAAACTCAAAACGTTTTAAGAGAGAAGAAATGTTAGAGTCTCTGGAGCTCGGTCTGACTTTTCTGCCCGGCTGCCCCCCTGGCATCCCCTTCCGCTGGAGAGACAGGTGGTAGCAGTGGGGGAGGACAAAGAGGAAGCCCCCACCAGCCTCTGCTGTGTGATCGGGGATCACAGCTGGCCAGGGATGTCAGAGGTCTGTACTCCTGCAGCTTCCACTTGATTACCTCAGGTGATGGCAAACTCACTCCCTCCTGAGGGTTTTATCCTCATTGTGAAGCCCTACTGTGTGCTGGCTCTGCCCGGGGCCCTGGGGACACAGAGATGATCCAACCTACTCCTGTCCCTACCTTTCAGGGGCTAACAGCCTAGTGAGCGAGATGGGTGCTTATCCAGGTCACTACACCCCAGAGGGGAGGGGGCACAGGAGGACCCTGATACAGCCTGGAAGAAAAGGGAGGACTTCCTGGAGGAGGAGCATCAGGGTGACACGGCAGTGAGGAGCTTGGGCGACTGGCTTCTCTGCATCTCCAGCTGCGTGACTTTTGGCAGCTTCCTTAGCCTTTGTGGCCCTCAGTTTCCTCTCCTGTAGGATCGGGTTACTGGCCGGGCGCAGTGGATTACACCTGTAATCCTAGCAACGTGGCAAGACCCCATCTGTATTTTAAAAAGGCTAGGTGCAGTGGCTCAGGCCTGT